GATTTCAGTAAACAGAATAACGCATACAGTTTTGTGTGTTGCTGGAATTCAAATATCCTTTTTTCTACACATAACAACCAAAAAATCAAACGAAATACATAGTAGTAGAAGATTAATGTAATAAAGGCAACATGATTACAGTAAACAGAATAAAATACACTAATGCTAACTATTTCGATATGAGTTCCAATATAGTTTTACAATTTTGGTTGTTTCTAAACATAAATCAAGGCTCGAGTTGGAGCAACGTGTCAAGCATGATTTAACCACGGTTGAAATAAGATTGTACCGTATTAGCGGTGCAATAAAAAAAATCGTCACTGATTTAAATCAGTCAGTGATTTCAGTTGTATGAAATGATTATAGTACGGTTGAACTACGATTTTAGCACTGGCCAAACGCTAACTTTTTCGGTAAGTCCCCTTTAGCATGGTTTTACAATTTTTAGTTTTTCTTAACATACATCGAGGCTCAGGTTGGAGCAATGTCTCAAGCCTGATTTAACTATGATTGAACTGCGATTTTGGCACAAAATATCATAATGATAACTTTTCGAGTACGACCTTCTATGTCATTTTACAATTTTTGGATTTGTTATGAACATACATCGAGGCTCGGATTGGAGCAACATGTCAAGCCTGAGTTTAACCATGGTTAAGTTACGATCTCAGCACAAAATACTCTAATGCTAACGTTTTCGGTAGAATCTTAGGTATGCTTACACAATTTTTTGTTATTCTGAATATACATCAAGACTCGGGTTGGAGCAACGTGTCAAGTCTGATTTAACCAGTACTGAACTAAGATTTTAGCAAAAAATTAACATAATGTTAATATTTTTGGAATGACCTTCAGTATGGTTTTACAATTTTTTATTTTTTTAAACATAAATCAAGGCTCAAATTGGAGCAACGTGTCTAGTGTTATTTAACCAATGATGAACTCCTATTGCATCATACTGGCGGTCCAATAGAAAAACTCCTAACGAAATCTAAATCAATAGGTGATTTTAGTTGTATGAAATGATTTAACTAATATTGTTGACTATGATTTTTTTAGGATAAAATTACCTAATGCTAACTTTTCTAATACGACATTCGGTAATGTTTTTCTATTTTTTTGGTTCTTTCGGAATATGCATCGAGCCTTGGGTAGGAGCAACGTGTCAAGCTCTAATGATTGAAATATGATTTTAGTACAAAATCCTAATGCTGACTTTTTCGGTACGATCTTCGATATGATTTCATAACTTTTAGTTTTTCTTAACATAAATCGGGACTCAGGTCAGAACAACGTGTCAAACTTGATTTTAACCACGGTTGAGCGACGATTGTACCGTACAAGTGGTCCAATAGAAAAACTCCTTCGGAATCTAAACTGATAAGAGCGCAAAGAAAAATGTTTATTGGTTAGTGAATGTGCTTCAAGAAATAAAACAGTGAAAATATGTAGTTGGGATAAGGGCAATGTCTATTTTTTACCCAAACCTTTTTCAGATTCTTTTATTTTAACCAAACCTACTGAATTCCTTAAAATTATCCAATCGTTAACTCTCTGTCAACTTTTCTGTTAGTAATGCTGACTAAGTATGACCATAATGAGTTGACAATACATTCAATCCACAATCATAATAGCAAGAAACCATAACTTCTTAATAGCTTAATCACTAACACCAAATACAATAAAACACACCTCACAATAGTTCAGACATACCTAAAATCATAAAACCACAACAACTTAATTAATATCAATCCACGATCAAAGTTGCTTCAAACCAAATCGTCTTTAAGACTTAACAAATTTCACAACGAAAAAACACAATCTAAATCATCGGAGTTCTTAGACCTCTCTCCTCTCACTCATCTGTATTTTCCTCATTGGTGTTGCTAGCATTATGGTAGTCGGATGTTGTGAGATGCATGTATCTTCCACTGAAAGATCGGAATTCATCTCGCATCTCTGTTACACTCACTTGTAGTGTGTGCTCATATGGCTGGGCTTTGAGCTATGGTATTGTATATGGAATTAATATAAAGGATATTACGGGTACCCATACTACTCAAATGGGTATTAGCGGGTAACCCGTGGGTACACAATGTCAAAATTCTTAATCCTAAGTCTCATCTCGTAATAAATATTACGGGTATTTGAGTACTCGTTACCCTAACAAAATGGGACGTGTATGGGTATACCCAAATACCAATTTGTCGTTGCCCACCCCTAGATAATTCCGAGTTTGATGTTGATAAGGTAATGCAATAGAGGTCGACCCTTCTAAGAATGAGGTAGACCATTTAATGTACAAGGTCAACCGATTTAAGATTGAGGTCGACATTTTTATTGTTTTCTTGCCAAAGAGGTCGACCATTTTATGTACAAGGTTGACCGCTTTGTTGAACGTAACAAAACGAAAACAGTAGATTAAATCGACCTTTATTACTTTGCGGTCGACCTATTTGCGCAAGTCACCGTAACATTGTCAAATGTTTAAGATACCCATAATAATTTTGTTTTAATATTTGTTTGTTTCTTTTGTATAACCAAATTCCTCTTACAATTAAACTTTAACAAGGTCAAGTTGTCCAAACACTGGAGGGGCAAAAGAAATATTTTTCCTCCCGAGGTCGGGTTGTCCGAACCACAGTTCAACAGTGTTCGAATGTTTTTAGACTAAAATTTTAACAAATAGTATTTTTGATAATGTTTGTAATGTGCATGTGCATGTCTGATGTAAAACATAGTGAAGGCATGTTTGATTAAAATGCGCCCGCATAACTTTGAACGAGAAATACGTACAACAACAATTATCATGAATTTGAGCATGGTTATGTAGAAATATATTATGCACATCATCTTTCGTGAAAACCAACAAACGAATATGATTTCTTCCAATTTGAGAACATCTACTTCCACTTCATCGCGGCGGAGTTCGACCCGGCCAGCCCCGGGTTCCGAACCGGCTCGTCCGGTGAGCATTAAAATGATCATTTAATGGCTGCACTCGTCCGTTTTGGATTGATTTGACGCTTGGTGTCGTTAATTCCCTATTTGGGTTTTATTACATCAATTATTTGATGTTATTGGGGTTTTAATGGCCTTTTGATTAAATGTTACAAGAATTTAGTGATTAACTAAAGTAATTTTTTTTTTTTTTAAAAGTGGGCGGAAGCTTAGCAAGCTAACTTTGGCTCTTAACCAATTAATGGCCTCATTGGTCCATTTATTTGGGTTTTAATACATCAGTTATTTTATTTGATAATGATCCGTTACAAGTGATTAATGAGTCACTAAAGCGGTCCTTTTATGGCGCTTTACAACCTTTATGGTTGGTTTATATATCAAATTATGGGATAGAAAGAATTAACTTCTGACGGTCATAATTAATTTTTAACTTTTAGAATTAATTAATTTATGGTTTTCAAAGTACCAGAGGAGTAAACTGTCTAGTTCGCTGCCCGGTTTGCTGGAGAAGACCGGAAAGTCTTGAACATCTGTTCTTCAAATGCCCCTTGGCCACAAGATTGTGGTCGCTCATGGGTCTAAATGATTTCATCTCCTCGGCCCCGACTGTGAATTTCAGTCTCTGGTGGCGACATGTTATGCTTTCTGAGCACCCCCAAACCCACATTCTCCTATACGTTTGTGTATTATGGAGGATCTGGAAGTCTAGAAATAAGGTGGTCTTTGAGCATGTCCAGCCTCATGCCCGGTCTCTCGCTCGTCAGTATTTTTTTCCAAGTTCGCGATCTGTCTTCCTCCCTTCCTTTGGTCCCTGCTCCGCCCCAGCCTTCCCGTTCTCGCCTCTCGTCTTGGTCCCCTCCTCCTGTTGGCTTTGTGAAGATCCCCTTTGATGCTGCTGTTCGTCCTTCTGGGTGCTCGTCTGGTCTTGTGGTGCGCAGTTCAGATGGGCATGTGGCTCTGGCTTTAGGGTCTCTCCATCCCGGTATTGCTGATCCCTATCTTGCGGAGCTCCTAGCAGCTAGGGACGCCATCGCCCTTGTAGTCTCCAATGTGCTGCCTCGGGTCATCATAGAAGGAGATTCAGAGGTGGTGATTCGGCAGCTTCGTCAAGGTGCTCTCTCTGACTCCATTGGAGGTCCGGTGTTTCGGGATTGCTCCCTTCTCCTTTCTTCCGTCTCTATTTCTTTAGAGTTTAGGGCAGTTCCTCGGACTGCTAACAGTGCTGCCCATAGAGTGGCGCAGAAAGCACTGTTACTCTCCCCTTTAGAGTTTTGCGCCTTTGATTTTGTGGGTTGGCTTCTCTGATGTATTGGGTTGGGCAGGGTCGGGGTAGATTGTATAGGTTTTCTCTTGACATTTCTTGGGGAAAAAAAAGTAGTAAATGGATTTCCTAATTCTAGTGATACAATGTGTCTTATTATCGTCACAAGAATCCTATCACTCTTGGTAAACAAGGTTGTGTTTGTGTACCTATTTCGCTTTCATTGATTTATTGCAATGTAAATTTTAGGCTTAGATCTTTCAAATCTCTCAATCTCGATATATCGAATCTCTTATAAATTTAAAATTAACTTGTCTTGATTTTTTAGATGTTTTTTCCAACTCTCTCTATCCTTCATTTTTTATCTATCAAATATCCTCCCAACGGTCTTTTTTCTACGAATTCTTCTATTTTTCTGTTAGTCTAGTTTCATTCTTCTATATTTCTTTTTAAATGTAAATAATCATCATTGTCAAATAAAACTTTTTTTCAACAAATCACAGAGTAATCATCATCAATTCTTTAGGTACTAGAGATTTAGATTCTCCAAACTATTTTCAGTTTTTCACTGGAAAAAAATAGGTATATATATTGATAAATGATAATCATCACGTAGACTTTGTGCATGGGTAAAAAAAAGAGCACCATTTTCATTTAGTCAACAACCATTCATTCACAAGATCCGCACCAGCTACCCAATTCACGTCGTTCAGTACGTACTCTTGCATTGCATGCATATAAAACCTGTCGGGTTGCAGCAACTCAAGGAACAAGAGATCGGAGCTCCGAAGCGGCCAATCACCAGGACGACACACAGAGCCAGCTAAAGGTCGCGGCAAAGACAGCAATGGCGCAGCAGGGTGGCAGCAGCAGCAGCGGCGGCGGCGGAAGCCTCAACGTGAGCCCGATGAAGCCTTTGGCGTCGCTGAAGGTGCTGGTGGTGGATGACGAGCCAATGATGCGAACCATCCACAAGGCTCAGCTGGTTAGAGCTGGGATCAATGACGTGGAGGTGGCTGCTAACGGCAAGGACGCCGTTGATCTTCACGTTAACGGCGCTACCTTCGACCTCATCCTCATGGACCTTCACATGCCCATCATGGACGGCTGTCAAGTACATATAACACCGTTTAAAGTAATTCCTTCAATGATTACTTGGTTTCTCATCATTTTCTCCTTCTTGTTTTGTTTTGTTTTTTCGGCCTCCTGCATGGAACAACAGGCTACGAAGGAGTTGCGGGCGATGGGGGTGAAGAGCTCCATTGTTGGGGTGACGAGTTCGGGTGGCGCCGAGAAAACAGCCTTCCTTGCTTCCGGTCTCGACGACTGCGTTTCCAAGCCCTTCGTCCTCCAGCAGATTGCCCACTACCTCAAGGTGCCGCGTTCCCCAACAAACCCGCCCAAATATCACAATCCATAGTACGCAACTTAACTGCCAGGCCCAGCCCAGCCCACTGCCTCGATACCTGCATTGCATGGGCCCATCTACCCACTATAACTACTATTATCAGTTTATCATTATTACTATGATTATCGGCCTGTTGGAAGAAAGTGCATTTCTTTTCTCTATGTTTGTAATGTTTTCCTACTACTGGCTGGGATGGGAGGTCAGGAATATTAATCAGACATTTATGGTCATTATTAGTATTGTACGTTGCTCTTAATGTTTGAAGACCACAAACGTTTGCAACCTAACCTAATGTGACAACTTATGCGTAAGTTGGATCTCTACATGGGCATAATATAGTAGTCCAAGTTAGCTTGTCTTTGACTAACCTGTGTAGCTTTGTTATCCAAACTAATTCAGTAATTCCTCCACTGCATCCTAATTATTGCCAGTTACAGTGGTGATAATGTCAGAAAGCTTAATGCTTAGTTTTAAGGGTTTTAATTGGGTATAAAGATAAATTCATACCCTACTTAATTTCTACCCCTTTTTCTCGCAATTTTTGGAAGCCTAAACTGAATTTTTGGCCTCATAATGGTTTATATGTCAAAGACTGATATGGTAGAAAGTCTTGCGGCTGAAATTATTTGTGGCTTTTGATCGACGGAAATGCAAAGCAGAGTCACTAATGTCTGGCCAATCTCGGTTTGTAAAAAAAATAAAATGCCACCGAACCATCAAATGGGTCGTGCTCGATTAGTGGGAAGCCAGATCTGTCCCTAGCTTCACAGGAACGTTAAATGGGACAATTTTTATATTTGGGTTGACAACGAACGAGTCATGATCTTTGCTTGGAGTGTAAGGGAAGGGAAGTGGTGGGAGAATCATGTCTTCCTCTTCTTTTCTTTTTCGGATAGTATCATATATAGACTATAGTTTGATAGTTAAATGAACTAAATAGGAATGTAGGATTTCTAATGGCAACCATATTGTGTATATTGTCTATTATTGGCTATGGGTTATCGGGTGACATAGTATTTGTGTGGAGTACCCTAGGTCGAGGAATCAACACAGGATCATTATGTCGAAATGGTAGCAAATTTTGAAAGTTCCTCGAGCTGGTAATGTTAATGACTCTTTAGTCTTTGGTACGATGATAGTTAATTTTTCTTCACAAGGTTATATTATATGTGATTATAACGATAGTTAAAATTATGAAGTACGTAATAATTCTGCTTGCTAGTCATCGACTCATGGTTAGAGTCGGAGGAATTTTTTTTTGTTGTTTTTTAGATTAGCCCAAGTATATAGTACTTTTGATTTAAGTTGTCACCATAGAGTACTTTTTATTATCCTATTCTTGCATGGATGCTCAAAGAGAGGGCTCACCCGATTGCGATTGAGTTATCTAGTACATATGGATTAGTATGATTTTGATACGGTCCACTAGTTTAATTTCTTCATTCTTAAGAGAAACCTTGGAGGAACAACAAAATTTTCAATTTGAGAAAAAAATATATGAAATGAAGTTATATTCAATTTGGTTTTATTTTGTCCAAATAATGATTGGGTTATGTTTGGCCCATGTGAATCAAATTGTTGTCACCCCTTATCAAACAAGCGACAAATCATACTTCCTCAACTCGAATGTTGATTATAAATAGGCAATATACATTTGTATAGTCAAAATTTTCGTATTTGTGCTAAAAATAGTCAAATTTGCATAAATATCACTTATAGTAAGTTTTTTAAGTTGTGTGTGACAAATATAGTCATTTTCGTCAGATACTTTAACAGTGTTATTCACACCGTCAACTTATTTGCCAGTTTGCTGACTAGGTGCCAACTCAGCGGACACGTCAGCGCCATGTAAGCAAATAGTGACACGTAAGATATTTTAATTATTTAATATTTACAAATCATAAATTAAAAAAATTAATTTTTTACCCTCATATACCCATCTGCACGACCCATCTTCCCCAAATTCGTTTTTAGGGTTCTTCCCCAACTTTTCGATTTTGGAAGCAACATCCCCAGAACATAGAGATGACCCAGAAGCAGCGGGGGCTTATGGAATCTGGGTTTCTGGAAGTAGCATAGGCTTATGGAAGCGTTCACATCTCCTATATACTTCGTTTAATATTCATCTCCTCGTTTCCACCGACCAACTACGATTTCATCTTCAATCGTAGTCACCGCCATCGCCACCAAGTTGCATGTCCGGAAGAAGCCGCCCGTCATGAATGGCGCTCCAAAATTTCCCCTAAAACCACTAATCTGCAACCAAAATCCTAATTCACAAACCCAATCGAACCAAAACCAGATTCAACCCCCTAGAGACCCTAAACCAGATTCAATTTTCCCCCAAACTTCACTTCCTCCACCAAAGTCGAACGTAGTCCCCCTTTGTCTCCCATCGCTTCCCTAGTGCCGCTACCTCCTCCGTCGTCAAGAACTCTGCCTCGCCGCCATCTGCGAGATGGACAACTGTGCTTGCTCTGGTCCAAGTCGCTCCTCGACAAACCCCTTCAACAACTGGCAATGGAAGAGGGATTGGGCGTGTGGTTGAGGGAACGCCGGATTTTGAGGGCGGCAGTGGATTTGGGACCCTCGATTGAATGTAGTCCCCCTGTCACTCTTCTTCACAGCTAAGAACGTTGTCGTCTAGTGGCGAAAGTAGAACAGAGGGGGTGAGATGAAGAGACTTTGTTGAGGGCAGCGTAGGTTAGGAGGAAGAAAAAGAGAGAGGTGGGAAGATGAGGAGGTTGGCGGAACGGATTCAATCTCCAATTATGAGATTTTTTATTTAATTTAATTAAAATTAAAGGATAAAAAATTTAATAATTTTCCACCTGACATTATTTTTGAATAAAATATGCCACGTCAAGTCGTAAACCATTGTTGTTAGTCTAGTCAGTCTGTTAAATGACATTGTTAAAGAATTGGATGGAATTGGCTATAAGTGATATTTCTTCAAATTTGGCTATTATTGGCACAAACGCGAAAGTTTTGGCTATACAAGTGTATATTGCCTTATAAATATGTTACAAGATAAAAATAGCCATAAAATAACTTAAACTTTCTCACTCTCTACTCACTTCCTATTATCAGCAAGTTAGTGGGCAGAAGGTTAACCTTCATGGATCCAATCAGGCGATCACCCTTCAGTGCATATGTCTCGGGCAATGAAGGAAAGGAAATTATGTTTATCCTTGATGTATCTGTGAGTAGGGAAGAGGATTGGTACCTTTGCCTCCCGATCAGCTGATGACACTTTATTTATAGTGTTTGTCACCCTCATTCTTGATACATTTCCCCCCTCTATCAATGCATCTTTAGTTATTTCTCTTATATTTCTCATCTAAATCATAACTATTTGATCAATGAGTCTTTAATAGATCTGGGATGTGTTTTTTACTCTTTGATCCCTTCTTGGTATATTTTTGGCTGTTTTAAGATATAAAGCAACCTAAGAAAACTTAAATCAAATATTGAAGAACTTTGGAGGACCAAGAGCTATAAAGAGAAGAATATGAAACTTTATGATAAAGATGAGGTCCAATGACGAAAAAGTCTACTAGAAGCCAGTATGTGAGCCTAAGATTAGCCTAATAGAGGCGCCTAAGATTAGCCTAATAGAGGAAGACTCGGCCAAACCTAAAGAAGAATCTAGTGGCGGCCCAACATCGGGTCCAACCGCCACGGGAGGAGACCTGGTCAAGACGTGTCCAAATGATGAGAAGAGGTCGTCCACGGGCCAAGGAGCCCAACCCACAAAGAAAAAGGACGGTAGTACCAACCGTCACCTTATCGCCGCTCGTGCCATACGCTTCTAGAAGCCTTCTTCAAGAAGTTACTTAGTCTATAAGGAGTAGGAAACCCTTTCCTAGTCGGTTTAGGAGAGTATTAGCCGAGTTCTCCCACTATAAATAGAGGGTATGAATCATTAGTTCAATGAGGCAACACAATTACACTCAAACTTATGGATACTCTGCTCGAGTAATAGCTTAGCTTTTGTAAGAGAGGTTGCTGATGTTGTCATCATCGATGGTGGTACCCTCATTCTCTTCTATGTAGCTAGTTCAAAATTTATTGTATGAGGATGTGAACTCTTTTTTTGTTATATGTATTAATGCTATAATTTTATATCATGCTTGTGGATTACGATGCTGATTATGTATGCATGGATGCTTGGTTTTCAATGCCTATGTGATGATCATTGTTGTTTATCTAGTATGAATGCTTCTTATCATCGATGCTTATGATTCTATAGTGTGCTAATATATGCTTTGTGTTTAGTATCATCTAGGTTGTTAAGAAATTATCATCTAGTGATGCCCCCATTGATGTTGCATGAGTCTAGAGGGAATGATCAACCATATATACCTCGATTAGTATCAATACTTGATTGTTAGATCATCGATTATAGTTCGTAGAGGCACACATTTTTTCATGTGCTATCTTAACTTTATTATTCTTCATTAATTAGGTAATGACATGAAGCAAAAACACGCAGTAACCTTTCCCCAATCTTTAGTCACTGTTTCCGTAGAGCTATTAGCATTGGTGTTTTATTTATTTATTCATTGACATAGTTATTCCCTTCCAAGAACATAAGCCCCTAGCCACGAGAAGCAAAACGGTCCTGCATATCTTCATTTACGGAGATGTTCACTTTGCTGCCTAGGTTTGCTGAAAGTCTATGTCGCAAGGTTCGCTACCTGGGTAGTCGTCGTCCTCATTAGTCCTTACCTCTCCATGATATCTCAACCTTGTCCTTCAAGAATCTAGAATCTTGCTTGTGTTTCATGGTGTTGTTCGGAACGCCTTGGTTTAAGATGTTGTTCGGAACATCTTTGTTTGATAAATGTTGTCAGGAGCATTTCTAGTTTGTTTTCCGTTTCGATGATGATATTCAGAGCATCCTGATAGCCATGTTGTTCGGAGCACGTGTTTTTGTTTATTTTTTTATGATGCTATTTGGAGCATCTTGAATAGCCGTGTTACTATTCGGAGAATACATGGTTTTATGGCTTGATTTTCTTGGTTTGATGATGTTGTTCGGAGCATCTTTGATTTATTTTCGTGATAATTGGTTTCTGGAGCTTCTTTGGAGGACAAGGGTTTGGAAAGACAAGAAAGTTTTGCAAGAGATCTCGTTACTTCCAATTCATTACCATCA